CAACATTTTACACTCGGACACCCGATGTAGGCCCTCAGATAAAAATATGATCTAGATGTTAGTGTGTGGACATCGGCAGCTGTTATCTACTAACCATTAATTCTTAATGAACTCTTAATGGCCGTAAATTGAAATATTGGCCATTTCGGTGTCCGCTTTTAGCCTACCTACAGAGGTCTCTAATATCCTCTGAATGCGGGCCTATCCGTCTTCCTTGTTGAAGTAAAACAATCTTTTCACTAAAGCTTCAACTTGGCAAGTTTGTCCACCTAATTTAAACTTCACAACTTCAATTTTTTTTCACTTTGATTCATGCCCGCCAACGTATTTGGATAAACTATGACAAGCAAAAAATTGCTGAAATGAAAGGAGATACATATCTCAGTGTAAACGATTCTCAACGTTTTAAACGCTGCCAGACAAAATACAAATATAAAGGGGGGATGAGTAAAAAATAAAAATACTGAGCTGATATTCACGGCAAGAACTTAGAGACAACTCAGCGAGGGTCTAACAACAACAAACTAGTATTATGATATTATTAATATTATTAGATTGCTGTTATTACTTCTCAATTAGGTTTTACAAACAAGCAGAATGCAATTAATGGGGAGTCAGTCAAAATAGAAAAACTGAACTCAACGATATTACGATATTATTATTACTATCATTAGATTGTTATTATTTGAACTATTATTTCTCAGTCAGGCTTTACGAACAAAATAATCACAAACCGTAAAGCACGCTAAACGAGGCTAGACGTGATGCGGAAAAAAGAGCGGAAGAAAAGACCCAAGGCATTACAAACAAATTGACACCAATACACATAAATACAGATACAAAAAGAAATAACAGCTACATTTTACAACAAATCAAGCGAACGAAAGCAATTGAACGAAATCAAGCTAATTCAATTGCAATTACATTTCTTCATCATATTTGCATTCGCCTGTGGCGACGAATGTTTGAATTTTGGTCGTCATGACAACGCCATTTGATAGCCATTTTGAAGTTTGGAAAACCTTGTGAATTTAGTTTCCATGGAAAATTGGTGCAACGAGGATTTTCTCTTGTTTGCGAGTGAATTTTACTCCATGTGTTTCGCTTTGCAGTTCACGATATATATACGATATATGCATATAAATTCTAATTATTATTTTTTTGCATAAGATTTCATTTGCCACCAGTCGAGTTCATTGATATGTAACAATTGGTAATTGTTGATGCGTGGTTTCATTGGCTAAGGACGCTTAGGTGCGAACGCAAACGGAATTCTTAGTGTAATTAACAGAGTTGTTTTGTCTCAGTTTATTGTTTAACAGCTCGCCTATTATCCACTGCTAACTAATAAAAGCGCGAAATGTTTGACCTGAACGCTTTCGTGAGTAAAATCAATTTGTTTCGTAAGTCAAGCTCTCAAGCGAACAGTTTGAAACAGGAAATGACGAGAGAGGGTCGAGATGCGTTTCAAATTTTCTGTCACGTTCAGCATGCCTTCTGAACCTTAAGAATGATAACATTTTTACCTATTGTTCTTTATCAAACAGTTTTGAAATATAGCTATTTCACAACAAGATTTTCGATTCCATAGAAAGCATCTTTAGTTTTTTTGTAACTTTGTGTTTTATAGAGGTACGAGATCGACTGCTAACAGTTTGCAAGGCTTTGATTGGCCAATTATGTTATCAAATTCCCGCCAAGAGAACGCGGAACGCGCCAAATGTTCCAGCCATGTGCTTCAAAATAATCATTAGTGCTTTTTACCATAACTGGTGAAAAACATTGAAGCGTAAACAATTTTCTAGCGTACAGCTCCTCAAAAATTTGACCACATTGCAAAAGACACAGATTCATAGGAGCAGGCATGAGCAAGAAAACGAAGTTGAGTTGGTCAACTTAAGAGTTCTGTCAACCCGGTTAATCAATTATGAAGTTAATTTTACCAAGCATCAATTATGCACTCATAGTTTATGCGTAGTGGGCTTAAGGAATTCAGCTGTAACCTTTCAAATCGAAGTGGCCCATTTATCGCCGGTTTGTTCGGCGTCATCTAAAGACGAGCATAGCGTAAGTGAAGAAAAAAACGTCGACGAACCTTTGGAACAACTGCGCTGAACTCACGATGAAGCACTCCAAGGATGTAATGTAAGTAATATTTGGTTTAGCTAGCTCGTATAAAGTACTTTGTATTAAATGCAACCAGCTATGTTTGTTTCCGTGTGTAGCGCATGAAACAATTTTAACAGCGTGCTTCCCAGCATGTTTTTGAGCTGAAAAACCTAAGATCAAACTTTAAGATTCCTGGGTCAAGTTCAGAGAAGTTTGTTTTTTCGACTACCTTTTCTCCGGAGTGGAGTGATTACAAATGTGAGTGAAGATTCTAGACAACAAGTGCTTTAAACTACAACACTACTATCTGATGGAAATTAGGTAAACAAAGCATTTTATAATTCTTTGTTCTTGACATAACGGTGTGTTGATAATATTTATTGGAATATATAAAACCAGGCATAAGATATCTGCGTAGAGCTATTGAAGTTGCACTTTAAGTGACAACAATTTATACGAATCTGTGTGACTTGTTTTCGCGCAATCACCTTGGACTAACAAGTTCTGTTGTTGTTTGAAGAGATTACTTATGATAGCTTTGACGAGTCACTGCAGATATTGTTTGCTGTCGGCTCAACTTCGATTTTCAGACAAATTGAACAATATAAGTAAATCATGACACTTCGTTACTCAAAATTTATCGCGAATTCGTAATTCTGCCAAACCGCACGCGGTCAAGGAAAAATTCTTTTTCTTCCTTTGTTCTTGACTTTAAAGGATTGAGACACGATATAACACACGTGATAGTTAAAAGGACGCGGTCGGTTTGTTGTCAAAGAGAGTTGAAGTATCTGCGTTCGGCTTCTAAGGAGACCTAGTGTCTGATTGTAAAACGAGAAAATTACACAGCGAGTAAAGTTACTTAAGACATATTACCAAATTCCACTTCATCTTCATAGAATCCAGCCAGTAGGATCGACAGTTGAAATTGCATAATTCGTTGTTGTATTTTAAACGAGGGTCATGTATTTATAAGCGACGCTTGTGTTTGAATTCTTTGAGACGCTAATTTATCTTGAAGTGTGGGTAAAATGTTAGTTACACAGAATATTCATCAGTGCTCTTGACATGAGATTTTGCATGTAAGAAAGTTTTATGAGTGCTGTCATGCCCTTAAAGAGTTGCGTAACGAGGGCTGTTTGAATTTAGTAAAGTAAAACATGTTCCAATGCCATAGGTCTTCGGTCTAGCACTGTGTGTTCTAGCTTCATGCTGTTCCCCCAGAAAGACACAAGAGTGAAAGACTTTATTTGTGAAATACACAAAAATAAACCGAGCATATAAACTGAATTTTTTTTTATCACGGTGATAAGAATCAACAATTAACATAACAGTCACCAATCGGTGGCAATGTTCCGAGCAATTCAGTGCAACACTTTTGTCTGTTACTCCGTCATGGTAGACAAAGAGCAAGTCCTGTCGAGCGTGAATTGTTTTGCTATCGCTGAACAAGTCGGGAATCAAGTTTGATAAAGATTGCAAACCTTGAATGTTGTGCTCTTTTTTCAAGAAATGTTTTATCGACCCAGCAATTAAATTTGAATCGATTGCAATGCTGGCGGAAATTCAAACAAAATTTCCAAACAAAATTGCATGAAGGATATACCTTCTCCTACATAAAAACAGCACCAGGTTAAAGATTTTGCATGTGTGTGTAAACTTGTGCGTTGTAAAACGTTTATGTGCTAAATCTACAGCTAAAAAATATTAAATAGTTTTAACTGTTCATTTAGTTTAACGTTAATTTTCCGTTTAGTCGCTTGACCGGTTTTCTGATAATATCTATAAAATCGCCGTTATAACAGAAACGTAAAGCATAGGTGTCAGTTCTAAATATTTTGTAAACTGGAACCAAATTGGCACGTAGGCTAATAATAATAAAAAAAATAGTTTCTATAAAAGAAACTGTTACGTTGCAGAAGTGAGGAGAGTTGATGTTAAATTAAACCGGCTCTAACTTTTATATCCTAAATTCATATACAGTTAAATTAGCCCATCTGCATGTGTTTTTTTTTTGTTTTTTTTTCAAAAATCCAGCGCTTTGTTCAAATGTCGCTTCTAGGTTATTGAATTCGAAACTGTCGTCTAGGAGCGATAATCCGTCCTAAGCTCGCTATTTTTAGGTTGGCGGGTGAGGTCTCCGACAATCGGTCCCCCAAGGGTAGTCACAATATTAAATAACACATCAGTTTTGTTCATGGTTGATCAGACAGGCCAGTGTCTGCCCAAATAACACCGCGATTTATTTGGAGTTTAGTTTGTAAAGAAACCATTCTCCTTCGTCGGAGGCCATATGAGAAAACACTTGCCATATGTCTAACGAAAAGCAAGGTAAAATTTTCAAAAAACGACGGCCTTCAAATGTGCAAAACATAAGTACAGTCAGTTGCAAAATGAGGGAGACTGTAGCTGAAATACTTATAAAGTGTAGACAACCGTCAATACTGCATGAAAGCAACGGTTAATTTACTCCACAGGCTTCACTGAATTGATAATATACTAAGCTAAATTTTTGCGAGCGGGTAACTTTTCAAGCGTTTTATACTTTCCGTCAGATTCAAATAGAGTATTGCTCGCAATCCCTTCATATGCTCTACTGACTACTTACACTCGAAAATCTGTGAACGCCAAAACTGATTATAAATGTAATAAGCATCGTTTGTCGCCTTTTAGCTATCGTTGTCGATTACTCTGTCACTTGTTTTTTAAAGGGCAACTGTGAGTGGCTTCTTTTGCTAATTTTTCCACATCAATTTTTTTTTTCGGCACGATTCACTGAGCAGAAATG